AACAGTATGCTTGAAATTATTGGTTTAAGAATCGCATTTACTGGAACTTCGTCTACAGAATTAAACCTGCCATTCACCTTTATTCCAGGGGATCCCTTGTTTCCATCTGGTCCGGGTGGTCCAGGGCGTCCCTAACATCCATTAAAGACAAAAGTAAGTTCGAGTTAAGAAAACTTGGTGAGGAATGTTGGAGCCGTCACTAAAATATTTGTTACACTAAACAGACGTTAAAAAAAAAAATAAAAAAATCGGCCACTAGAATCCAAAATCGCAAATCGGCCACTTGTGTCTAAAATCAGCCACTAGTCTCCAAAATCAAAAATCGGCCACCAAAATCAAGCATCGGCCACTAGTGTTCAAAATCAAAAATCGGCCACTAGCGTCTGCCCAGGAGATATTACGCGCAAGAACTTATTTTTGCGTTCTCAACCCTGAAATCCTTTAAGGACCTTACGGAGTCTTAAATGCCACAGGAACCTCTTTGCGGTGGAAGTTTTAAAAAAAAAATAAAAGATCTGAATTGCTGTAAAATGTTCAATCGTTATGAACTTCCTTAACATTCTTTGCGGAATCAAGTCAAAATCAAAATCCAAAACAAAAATACATCTGAGCATTTACCGTCGCTCCTCCAATTCCAGTTAAACCAGAAGAGCCTCTTTCTCCTGGTAGACCCATTTCTCCTTCTTTACCGGGCTTTCCAGGTAAACCATTTTCACCATCCTTCCCCTGTCAATAGAAAACACTTAAAACATCACTATTACCTGTCATAGAAGCTTCTTATATTTTTAAATATTTGGTCAATTTCAATTTCAAAACCTGTCACCTTGGGGCCGCGAGGTCCTGGGTATCCCGGAGTACCTGGTCTTCCATCCATACCCTACACAAGAAAGAAAATCCAAAAGCGGTTTTTTGTTCCATGTTACAGTGTACAATGAAAAACTCTCTTTTGAGATGTCTCCGCTAAAGAGGCACTATGTCTTGGTGCATAACAACACTAAACATGGTATTAACCAAAACAAATTACTCCGAGAACTTTTAGTTGCATAAGGATTAGCTCTAACTTGATAGGCTACGGCTAAACTAAATTCAAGAATAACATAATTATTTTCCAATATAAATCCACCAAGTAAATTGGACTTAAAAAAGCACAATTCAAGCTCTTTACGTTAATATCAACTATACTTACCGGTTGACCATCTCGTCCGTTGTTTCCAGGAAGTCCCGGATAGCCCCGGTCACCCTAAACCAACAATAGGGATAAATGTTCAATTAATCATTTTAACAAAAACGTATCCAACTGGTAATGCAAAAGTAAGGTTGAACTTCATGTAATACTCACTGGCTTCCCTTTCGGTCCTTTCCTTCCGCTCCGTCCACGGATACCTGGCCATCCCTTAGAAAGAGTGCAAAAAAATTACGGTGGCTATACTTTACCAATAAAATAATATCGGTTCTATGGGGAATGTTATCGCACACGCTGCGATAGGGTAATGTGGGACGTACCTTGTTTACACAACATCTTGCAAATAAAACCCCCAATTCGAAAAACTGTGGAGAGTTCATTATCTAGGCTATTAGTTCGCCGGAGAACATGAAATATGGTTTTTCACTTTCCATCGGTTTGTCAAGTGGTTCTCAGGGTGCTATAAAGACTTACCAAGCCCTGTCCAGGGAACACATACTGTGGAGAGTAAGCCACTGTATCGTTCCTTTCTAGTTTTTTAGTTATACAAGACACAAATACAAAAACTGTTCGTTGCACTCACTGGTCTACCATCTGAGCCGCGCATTCCTTTGGCTCCTTTCCCTCCTTTAGGACCCTGTTGAAAAAAAAAAAAGTTAAGTCGGCAAGAGATATTTCCAGCCCCCTATAAATAAAACATAATATATTTCTATCGGGTAGTTTCGTGTAAGATCGATTAAATTGGGCTCTTTTCTGATATGATTCTTCATCAGTGCTACCCTAATGCAGCCGACACTGTAGTCAAATGTCTACACATGTGCGAATAAGGGAAGGGACTAGGTTGCATACTTTCAGGAATTTCAGGCTGTCAAAACTAGGTTGTCTCATAAACATGCACAAAAGTGAGTATGTCACGGTATTTGAAAATTGTATACCTTTTTTTGGAAAGTTCACAACACAATGGAAAATAAGCAGGTAAGTAAGCCCGTTATTACATAATCCTTTCGTACGAAAAGTTATGAGTTTCCCCTTCCCCTAATTTTTTTAATCAGAGTGTAACACGACAAAGCTAATAACTTCATATCTGCACGACATCTAAAATAACAAACGATGACATAGAAATTGTTTTAAATTTATTATTATAATAATAATTATTATTTATTTATTATTTATAATTTATTAATTTATTTTTGTTATAATTTATTATGGCTGTGGTGTTGTGAGACAATTGAGCGTCGTTTTTTCAGTCAATAACTTGTCCATGAAGAATTAGTACTCACGGGAGCCCCTGACAAGCCGTGCGATCCATATTCACCTATGCGTCCCGGCATGCCCTTGAACGAATAACGTACAAAAAGAACTTGGACAAAATGAAAGAACAATAGGGATAACATTTTAAACAGTTATCAATGCAAAAAGGAAAAGAAACAGGAGACGAAGGAAATGAGGAATAAATCGAAAAAATATCTACTGAACAAAGAGAAGGACAATATTCCTAATGCAATCATATTTGCCGAAAAACAAAACAAGAGACAACGAACAAGATAGAAACAAAACAAACAAACAAATCATATCAAACAAATTTGTAGGAAGAATTTTAGAAGTAACAATAATTAAGATCCGTTGTGTCTAAACATAAAACTAGGTTTAAATTTTCTACTTAGGCATGGCCATTCTCTTACTAAACTAAAAAGTATTGCTGTGTACATGTCATGATTCTAGTTTTTGAGTGCGCATGTCCTATTTACCGGAGAACCAGATGGTCCCATTGGGCCAGGAGGTCCACGGGGTCCCTGAAAAATAAACAAATGACGCATTCAGTTTAAAACTAGTTAATTTCAGGGTTATTCAAAGAATGAGAAGAGAACAGGCTCTAAGTGGCACAGCTGTGTAGAATAGGCTGGAGAGCTGAGTTACAAAGGACTCAAGCCTGACAAGGAATGTAATATGACGAACCATATCTCCAGCTTTTCCATCTTTGCCGTTAACTCCACGGATTCCCTTTGGAATAGATACAGTATAAAAAATTAGGTCTAAATTATCTACATTTCATTTTCATTTGGGAGTGGTCAGGTTCTAACTGAGGGGCAATTCCAGCTGAAAGTATCACTTAAACCCTTTGACCCCTAATAGTGATAACATCTAATTTCTCCTTACGATATCACCCCTGAATCACTTATTAAGGTCATGAGATTTACGGAAATGATCACGGACTAAGGAAGCTCTTGATTGTTAAACAAATTCTCCTTGTCAGCACCTTAGGAAATGTATAGAGAACAGTATGGAGAATATGCATACTGATGTTCGGGTGTAAAGGGTCAAGGCCTCCGATTTCACTCCTTACAAAGCGATATTTGAATTCAAATTCTGAGTGCGTTGCACTATGAAGCACGCATTATTCTGTTACCTCTAAAAGGTTTTAAGTCTACCACAGTGCAGCAAAAAGTGCTCAAAAGCGTTGGTCACAATCTCAGATCAATGAAGGGTTTTTTAAATTAGATAAGGCGAGAATTAACGCGTTACTGTTTCTTTGTCACTTTACTAGCTTGTACAGGTCATATGTGATTTCATATTTACAAATTAAACCAATGCTATCAAGGCAGAATTTTGTCCGAACATTCTATAAAAACGCCTCACCTTACGCCCTGCGCGGCCGGGGTAACCTGGAGCTCCTTGAGGTCCCGATAGACCCTGCAAACAGTTGTATTTACGTAATGTGTATGACCTCTCGCGTACAGTTTAACGTATGCGTAGCAGAATTCAAAAGTTAGCATTGCAGGATCCAAATAAGAAATATGCTAAACACCTTCAATCCAGGACTTCCACGGAATCCAGGCCCTCCCATACTACCTCGACGACCCTGTCAAAGAAAAATCAAATTCGACGATGAATTCAGGATTACACTCCTTGGAGCATTGAGCAAAGCAACGTTTCCTTTGTTTTGTTGGTAGGATGCTTTTGAACAGATTTAAGACTAAGATGTATTCGGCCCTTTGGAAGAGAGTTCAACTATATAATGTATCTTTTACATAGTATTTCACCTGGATGAAGAACTCCATGCTTCAGAATGTTTGGTAATAACAACCATATCGAAAACAAATTATAAAAGGTGGTTTCCGCTTTCTTATGTTACTCTGACATACCATTCAATGTTCAGCTTAACTGAGTCCATGTCACTTGTACCTGATCGAGCACCTTTACGGTCTCAATGATTTATGCGTAAATGCTGTTGCTTCCTTGGTTAGCAACAAGATGGCGTCCAGTTGTTAAAATGAGGTTGACTAATGTTACATGGTGTCAGGAGTGGCTGTGACCAATGAATTTATTTCCCTCGCCACTAGACTCACCCTTCGACAAGTAAATCAAACCCCCCCCTACCTCATTTTTCCAACCAAAGCTCAAATTTTCTAATGTCAACTTCAAATAAGCAGATAAAATCCAAAGAAAGCCCGTTTATCTACTTACACGCCTTCCTGATCTCCCAGGTCTTCCCGCAACGCCCTTTCGACCGCGGTCACCCTTCAAGACAGCGAAAAATAGGCATTGAATACCATCAAAATAAACACAGACCAGTTAATCGCCTTATTAAGTTTAAAACTATCAAATCGATATCCTCACAGCTTAGAAGATAAACGCCTACCTAACGTCTCTTAGTACAGACTCCTCGATTTTAACATATGGACGACCTTCTCGCCACATTGGTGAAGCAAACAGAAAGCCGAACAGAACAGAATGGAACTTTAGTAGCTAGTCAAGATTCCCCTATCGCAGCTGACTTACCCTACTTAAGTCCTACATCCAATAACATCGGGGCAAACTAATCAATCAGCTTTCAGGAACTCATTTGCAGTAATCAACTGACCGAAAACTCCTCTCTAGACTCTGATAATGACTTCCGCACACGGTGTTGAAACCTCAGTCGATATCAACGACAGCAGACCTTATTTAAACTTCCCTCACCCGGACGATCAGAATACACGATTAGACAGACAGACAGACATCTATATTTATACAGGATAGCCCCTTCAGTGTAGTAAACACTGGTATCAACGGGGGTCCTGTTACCCTCCCATCCCACCCCAGGGGAGGACATCCATCACACAGTAATCTCGTGCGTGGGAAATTAACGTCTCCTGCCCCTAACCCTGCAGGAGACGGGACCTCCATTTATTCGTCCCTATCCGAGAAGACTAGAATATCTAACCATTTCTTGATGTTAAAGAAAGGAAGCATATTCTTCTCAGTTAATTTTAAGACCCTGAGTGTTGGTCCGGCCGGTATTGAACTCTCGACCTCCCGCACAGCAGTCCGGCGCTCTCCCAATTGAGAGCAATGATTAATCAGTCGTTTTGTCATGAGTGTGAGGAAGAAAACATGAAAAAAAATCTGAGTCCCTTAAGGAATCGAACACCAGACGTTCGGTTTGTACACTCGACCAATTATTTCAAGGATGGTAACACATATCATTCATCACCAAACATAATCAAACATATCTATAATGCTAGCACCTTTACTCCTCGAGGTCCACGGCGTCCATTTGAACCAGGGCGTCCATCCGCACCCTGTTAACAAATTATATCGTGAGATTAATTTGTTTTTGAAATACTGTTCGTAATTTGTAATCACACGTTAAAAATCCCGTTTGTTCCTTAAAACCTTAAAAAGAAACCTTCAACCCTCATTTCACATGAAACTGTTTAGATATAAAAAAGAGAGAAACTTGGGTACAAAAGTAATTTTAGAACTGTTTCCATAAGTCCTACCCGTTGTCCTCTTGCACCGTTAAAGCCTCGCATTCCCATCATTCCACGAGAGCCCTGTATAAAACATAACCATGGACATCAATGCATATCAAACGACATTACTTTGAATAAAATGTAACATTTCTCCCGTCTGTTCAAGAATATTAAATAATATTAATTCTACCTCTAATTGATTTTGCTTACTTCACTCCCAGGTCTTCCAAGACGACCGTCATCGCCAGGCATTCCCTAAACATCACAGAAAGTTAAAGAATAGAGCGAGAAGTACAATACAAAAATTGTCAAATACGACGTTTAAAGACGTTGAAGATGTCTACAGGTACAATTCAAGAAGCAAAGTGCACCCAGGACTTTCCACTGCGTTAGAAAAAAATAGGGCAAGCAGAGGCCACACTTCTTAGGTATTGAACTCAAAACAACATCAAAATTTTTAAGACGTAATTCATTACTCGATTGCGTGATCAATTTATATTTCTTTTAACATGGTGAAAAGAAGATGATGTAAGCCAATTTCGTTAATATGCTTATAAAGAATAAGAAAGTACTTGGTATTATTGCTTGCTCGACAGTAAGACAAAATATGATAGGGACAGACAAAGGCTGGACTCAACTCAGGTGGCCCATTCAATCTGTTTGCGAAGAAAACTAAACAGAAGTTAGGAGAAACCGACATATCTCGGCCAATACCCTGATGGTTTGCCAGGCTCCATCATTTTCATTTAATGGTAGCATAAAGTACTCCTCACCGGCTTTCCTGATTCTCCATCACGTCCCGGTTTTCCCCTAGGTCCACGTGCTCCCTGTTTAAGACCAAAGAGCAGCCTTGACAATGAGTAATACGTCACGGTAAACAAAGGTCTTATTTGCCTGCGGAACGGGTTGGAGGAAACGCACGAAGAAGGGACGAAAGCGTAAAAGGAGGATCCGCACTATTGATGCGCTTCTGCTCGCCTTGATCCCCAAAAAACAACGCTTCTCCCGATGGCTTAAGTTTTCCTCCCTGGTCGTATAGTCGTCATTGTTCAGTGGGTTTGATTGTGAATACTACAGACTGATTTCATGCCTGAAAATGCGAGCTTTCGAGGGACAAGTTCGATAAATTTGTTTCAATATACATTTCGCAACAACCAATACGACAGAGTTGCACGGGAATTTTGAGAGTCTTTTAGTCTCTACTTGGCGATTTTTGGTTGTTGTTGTTGTTGTTTTGTTTTTTTTTTTTGTAAGAACAAAGTATGTGGCTCCAAATTTTGTTTTACCGTGGACGATTCGTAACTTATCATTTCGAGCCGAGTCCAAATAAGAATAAAACGTATTAACACTTACACGTTTTAAAATTTGCTCGTAGAGTGTCTTGAGGTAGCAAATCTTAAAGGCGTTTGTCTTTTGCGAGATTTTTTTTCTGTGGGAACTTACTTTCCGGATTGAGAAGTATCTATTACCGCACAAAATTATCACCCACAATATTTACATGCTATACAACACGTTCAAAAGAAACAGGAAAAAAATTACGAGGACCATAATTCACTAAATCTTTCTGTAATGGAAATTTTTTGCAAAGCCAAAGCTGGCTCCCTGTTTCTCAGCTATCGTCTATTACGATACGTACCGGTAAGCCCCTCTGTCCTGGCTGCCCCAAATCCCCAGGGGCTCCCTAATAAAAAACAAACAAACAAACAATAATAAAAATGAATCTGAAAATGTTTTGACCTTTGATTGAATTTTTCACTGCAGTTTTCTTAGTGAAACGGTTTAAAAGACTGATTGTCTAGGGTGGCATATGTATCATGCAGATGTTGTGTCTGGGATCCTTACCACGTCTCCCTTTACTCCTGGAGTTCCGGGTATCCCTGGGGTACCAGAATTGCCCTGCGTTGTGAAAGAGAGCGGTATTAATCTGTGATTGCTTTAAGTATTACAAAATTGAAAAGATTCGAGTCAGTTGAGATGATTTTGCAGTTCCTTTAATCATGGTCAGGTGGTAGTTGTGATGTCGACAACTGGCGATCGTGAAAAAGAGTCCTTTTATCACTCACAATATCACCGCTGAAACAAACGAATGCGAACAAAGGACATGATCACCGACTTCAGAGGCTCACGACTGTCAAAGCAAATGTTCCTGGTCAACAACAAAGGAAACGTATAAAAACAGTATGGAGATCAGGCACACTAATGTTAGCTTATAAAGGATTAGGGTACGCAGGCTTGAGTTTTGACTCACTCAATGGCAGTTTTTCAGTCTCAGGAATAAACAAAATAAACAACGTATTTCAGGGCAATAAAAGCTCAACATACCTGGTAAAATACAATGTGCTAATTTTCTATTGCTAATATTTTAGACCATAAATCCATATTGCTTACCTTCTTCCCATTTCTTCCGGTTGCACCTGGATACCCGATAGCTCCCCGTTTACCCTGAGAAACAATAAAACCATAGGATTAATCAAGGGATCGACTGACAGACAGTCAAACAGACAGACAGACGGACAAAAAGACAAAATTAACAGCTAATTTTGCAATTTCATTTAAACGGTAATTGACTGGAGGGTCCGAACCCCCCCTACCATCAGACCTGTGGGGTTTTTTTTCTTTTTTTTTTTTTCAACATTACTTAATTCACCCCAAAGCTTTTTCAACGACAGATACTCATGTGAAGGATCTAACATTTATTTGTCTAGACATATTTCTTGGCGTATTTAGGCTTGTGGATAGTCAAAACAGTCGAAACCATAAATTCCTAGGAACAGCCTTTTGATCATTTTCCCAAGCAATACTCTTAGTTCGACCAAGCTTGTTTGGTGATTATGGTTGCGCATAGTTCTCGGTTTAAGTTTATTCCATTGCATCTATTTATGTTATCTCTTTCTTCATTCCTTGTGCGACTTTATGTTATTTTTCCATTAATAGCGGGGCTCCCACTCGCGCGAAGCACGCGTGGGGCAGAGCCCCATACCCATGAAATATGGTCAACCTCTTTTCGTTTCGTTGTCACGTGACTGACCGAGCGTACGTACATACGTACGTACGTGCCTTCAGATTGCACGGGTAGGGTAGAGGCGACTCAAAACGAAGGGTGGGGTGTCTCAGGCGAGTCTTGGCAAATGCACATCTTTTATGTTATTATTAATATTACGAACTTGGGAGCTCCGCTTTTAGGCTTGGCTAAATCTATATATTACACACCCAGTTTAACGTTACGAGGTCTTACCATCCCCCCAGGCTCTCCCGCTGTTCCAACCGGTCCCGGAGCTCCTTGACTACCCTGGCAAGAAACAACGCAAACGACTTAGACAATACAGACTAACAGTTTTAGGAAATTCTTTTCTTTTTTTCTTCTTCTTGGCAAGAAACAACGCAAACGATTCCTTAGATAATACAGACTAAAACTTTTGGGAAATTCTTTTCAGTAGTCTAACGGTGAAAAATACAAACTGTCAAATTAAAATCGAGAAATCAAACAAGAAAATCAATGATTAATTGTTAATGTTTACAACTCCAAACTGATGCCAGTACCCCTCAGATATCTCCACCCATGCATTGGTATCCTTCTATTCTGTGTACAACCTAGGAGATACAAATAATAAAATATCCTGTACTTACTCGCTTCCCAGCGATGCCAAACGGCCCAGGTCTTCCCATCTGTCCTTTCCTACCCTTTGGAAAATAATAATATCAGTGCTTATAATTCAGTAACTTTACGAAGCCATACGGACACAAGCGCCAATTAGCACAGGGTCGGGATTAACTGGTCGAAACAATTTAAAATTAAAGGACTGCTTAGATCCTAACGATTGTCAACCTTGGTAGAGAGATTACCAAGCTTAGAGGGGGTAGGGTTGCTCACTACCACCTATAATGTTACCCTACCCCTCCCCCCTAGCCCCATTCTTCTTGGACGTGTTTGGGAAGGCAACCACCTTTCGAGGGGTGATGTGTGATCAACCGAAGAATCTCTAAGAGCTGTTCCTATGGATGTTTTGTTTTACCAAGATCTGGGGTAAGTTTTTAGGGATTAAGGTTGCCCACCACCACCTGGAACCTTACCTTCCCCTTCCTCAAATCCCATCCTTCTTAGTAATGTTTGGGAAGGTCACCATCTTTGAAGTGGTGATGTGTGATCAACCGAAGGATCTCTAAGAGCTGTTACTACGGATGATTTGTTTTCCACGCACCCATATATTAGGGGTTTCTGTATCTACTTGTGAATAAGAGTAATTTTCATTTTTACTGCGTTCTTCAAAGGAAACTAGTTCGTTTTACAAAAGCTTGTATGAACAAGGCTCATTCCCAACACAACAAGTCGCCTAGAACAAAGATAGTATTTACCCCCAGGGAAAGAGTACAACAGAACCCACTCAACTCGAAGTCAAGCCTTTGCATACTACTGGCCGAGAGTAATAGAATCATTAAGCCGACAGGACGTTTTCAAAGCAGTGCAGTTACGTAAATTCAGTGGAGCAAAAGAACTTGTTTGCATACATAAGAAAAGAGGTCCAATCCCACAGGATTGTCTAGACACCAACACCGTAGCCCTTCTCCGCCCCACTCTATTGTTTTGGTTACCGATATTGTCTCTGTGATGTCATGCAAAACGATCTATTTATCATGGATGACAGGATTTCCTTTGGATATCAATAGATAATCAAAACACATATTCACGCAAATTCCCACCTGTTCACCTTTTGATCCAGTTGCTCCTCTCAAGCCAGGAAATCCAGATTTACCCTGATTGGAAACCAAACACGACAATAAAATGATTGAAGATTCCGAATTGTCATCATTTACAAAACGCATTTTGATGGCTTTCTCAAGATTAAGGTCAAGGTTATCAGAGCAGCCAATCAGAACCATCGAAAAATATCGCAAGCAATTACCAAGAATTGGATGGAAGTGTAATGTAAATGATTGTTGTATGGCGCGAGAAAACGCTAGTGAGTACTTAGTAAATGGTTGAAGTTTTGCATCTGATTAGTTATGAGCCGTTCCACACAACGGTACACAGAACTCATGGATTCTCCTTCGTTTTCTTGTTTATTCTCCGCACAATAACTCACTAAGAGGACTTATAACTCACAATGAATTGTAGAAAACTCTCTCTGAAAACTCGCTATTTTTGTCGCATCCTGTTGTCTGACTTTGCTCGCACGTGGTCATTACCAAATTTGGTAGTATTCGCAAGTGTCACAAACTAAGAGGGATGGGGGTCGGTCAAAACTCTTTTACAGTTGCGGGGTTCTTGGTCAATTATTGAGTCACGTAAATCAGAGCCAACGCAATTCAGGATAACATTCGACATTCACTCCATGCAATGGATACTTACGGTGTCTCCACGCTCACCATCGCGACCAGGCTGCCCAGGTATACCCTTTAAAGAAAAGGAGATACCAAACCTTTATAGACAGCAAACATAACGCAACGCTCTGAGAAACTAATTTTATTACTTCTCCACACTAGACATAAAACTTCCATCATGAGAATGTTTGCATCTTAAACACACAACCCCTCCTTTCTCCCCAATTTTTCAACGTAGCGAGGGCGGTGAATCCTGGATCGTTAATCCCAGTTTGTGCCATAGGTGGGGTTTACATGCCAGTTGTGATCATGAGCAACTCCCAAAGTGTCCCCTTTTATCTACGATTGCAAACGGGCAAGTGACAACTGCTTAAGACTGGTTTTCACTTTCGACGAAACCGGAGTTGAAGTCATAATCAGAAACGCAGAGCGATACAATCAAATGAAATCAACCGAAGATATCGGAAGAAGAATATCAGCGCTACTTACGACGACTACTTACGACGGTGCAACGATTCAGTGAAAAGTGGTTCGTCGAAGAAGCAAGTCTTTGGATGGCCTGAGAACTAGCATAGTGATTTGTTGGTTCTTCCGCTTCTCCTTGCGACCCCGATAGTTTTCACTGGATCAGAAGCATCGAAATCATACGCGCGATTGGAAGAAAATAAAATTGTTTTGATTCTCCCGACTTCGATTCCGTCGAGCTTATGACTCCGCTTACGACTCGAATTTTCGATTTTCACGCGTTGGAAGTACTCTCGCGACTCCGACGACGACTCCGACTCCATCACTGGTGAAAACCAGCCTAAGGGGACGCTAGTTAGAAACTAGCATTCCGTTGATGAGGGGTAACAATACTCTAGGTGGCCTCATATAATATCAAAGCCCGCATTACTTCTGTAGTAATGCTCACCAGGCTCCATGAACTTTACAAGGTCTTTCCTTTCGTCGTTGTTGCTGCCATGAATCTAAGCGGCACGCAAATGTCACCCAGTTAACGGTCTGATTTCTGAGCAAGAAATATTTTACTTACATCTCTTCCTGGAGAGCCTCGCGGTCCTTGAGGTCCCATCAGACCCATTGAGCCCTAGAAAAAAAGGGCTGACTTTAGAAAGCCCCAGTTTAACGCACTAACTTCACAGATCTCTTCCAAATAGTGCGAAAGAATATCACTGCTATTAACGAATAAACTACACAACAACTTTGTACCAGCACACAAATTAGCATCCCTGCCAGAAAGTTCAGACCCCCCTACACACACACACACACACACACACACACACACACACACCCGTTTCACAGATTCCTGGATCCGTTATGGACATAAAGCTTTCACGCATTCGTCGCTCCAAAATCCTTTACAGAGACAAAAGATTCTTCTAAAAATTTTAGAAATAAATTCGTCCTTAAAAACAGGGCCTTACTAACAAATCACCTACCATGTTACCCTTGGGCCCAGGTTCTCCCTCCTCACCTGGGAGGCCGGGGTTCCCTGGATCTCCGACTTGTCCTTCCTCTCCTTTTTGGCCAGGCTCTCCGTTTGCACCTCTAGGTCCTGGACGCCCCTGGGGTCCTGAATTCCCCTTAGGCCCAGGACTTCCTGCTATGCCTGCTTCACCCATCTCCCCAGGTGCACCCTGCAGCAATAAAAGTCTTACACTTTACTTCAAAACGGAGGAAAATAGAGAATTCTTTCTCTCCTTGTTAATTGACCCTCTTCATCTCGTTTCAAACTGAAAGTCTGAATTAGTAGGATACGATCAAGGCCAAAAGGTTAATCATTAGGAAATAAAGGAATATAAAAATATTCAAAATTTTAAAGTAAGATCTACAGGTATAAGCAAGGAGCGCTTAAATTGTCTGTAACTAAAATCGTAAAGCCGACTTCTTTGAACATCAATTCATCATTTATCGTAAAGTAAACTTTCTTGGGGACACGACAACGAACAGGCCTGCATAGATGTGTGCGCCTTTCAGTCATGGGTAGCAAAGTTGCAGGGTGTATATTGCCATCTTCCGTCCCAAGCCTCCGCGGTTTTGCCAATCGTTTTCCCAAGTCCGTCGCCTGACGCTTCGAAGCGCTAATAAAACTGCAAGCGATAAGGCTACACCAAAATGATTCATTCCTGCTTTGCCCTAGCATTCTGCCTCTATGGTTCACTCTTACCAAAAAAGAAAAAAAAAAACACAAAGTACAAACAGCTGGCAAATTAACAGTTATATCATACCGCAGAACCTTCTTGACCAGGCTTCCCACGAGGACCGTTTCTACCCTATAAAAATAATAAAAAAAACCCACCAAGCTTAAATGGAAACTTCATGGTATAAGACAAAAGAATGAAAATTGCAAAACGAAGAAAAATAAGTCAAATGAGAAATATAACTGAAAACATTTTAAAAAATGAAGATTTCAAGCGAGAATGAACGTGAACTAGAAGTATGATATGTAATGGACAGAATGAGTTCAACGAAAAGTTTTGCGTTAAGACCGAGATTGAAGGGAACAAAATATCGTAGATCGTTTAGCAAAAAGAATCATCTCAGATTTAGCCAAACGTTTTATCGAGTAGTTGATCTTCAGCAACAGTTTCAAGAAGGCATCCGTCTGATACAGACTGGAAAATATAATTATTTTCCTATTACAACCGAAAAACATGTACTGTATAGAGAACTGTAATATAGGTCCATTGATTGTTTAGGCTGTGGCATAAGTAACTTATAGTTTATTTCGTTTGCACAGCCGACTCGTCCAGTTCTGCTCTACTTTATTTGCTTACCGGTGCGCCCACCGCTCCTGGGGGACCAAGCCTTCCTTGGTGACCTTGTATACCCTGGAGACAAAGACATCCAATGAATTAAGAGAAAAGTGAACTTGACATAATATGTAACAAAAAAAAAAAAAACACGTTCTCTAAGAAATACGGCCTGTTAATAACTTACGGGTCTTCCATCACGACCAGAACTTCCTCGTTCGCCTGTGTCTCCCTTAAAATAAAGAACGAAAGAAGTCGGGGAAAGAATACACAATGGTGCACTTGTGTCTACTATCGATATACTGCGTAAGAAGAATTAAGAAGAAGATTAAGTGTACTTTAAAACGTAAGAGGTACGTTTGCCGCCGCTAAAGCATTTTCCTGACTAGGCAGGGACCGCGAAGAGGGAGGGGCTGCTAAGCGCGCATGCTCCCATTTGCTGCGAGGGAGGTGAGTTGACAGTCGCACATTACAGATATTATAAAATGTTAAAATGTCAAACCCGCTCAAGTCGCTGTTTCCTTGCCATAAAAACCAAACCAACTAACAAGTTGACACGGAATGCAAACGAAAGTAAAATGACAGCGATGCAAGGACTGAGGAAAGAGAAGATAACATGTAAAAGGCGTCTGCAAACGTTATGTTACACATAACACGAAGAACGAAAAGCGTTTGGAATTGAAGCGAAGGCGCTGTCGAACTTGCGAAAACTTAAAACACAAAAGAAGGAATCAACGCAAAATTTTGCAGGGAAATCTAACAGAATATAAATTGCGGTGAGCGAAAAGAATGCGAAGACAGTAGAAAAACGAACACACAACACAAAAACATGACCAAAAATGGACCAAAACTGTAACAAAGAACGCGAAACAAATACTTAACCAAAAATGCGACAGAAACACAAATACCTTTGTTAAGTTGCCAGTGCAAGTGCCTCAACCTAATAACACGCGCACTCTGTTGAATTTTTATCATACCTGTGGGCCTTGCCTTCCTTTGTCTCCTGGCTGTCCTGCAGGTCCTTGTTCTCCCTAAAAGTTATCACCTCATTTCATTCTTCCTCTTATTCTAATTAAAAACAAACCGTGATAAAGTGGTTTTGTTCGTTTATGGTCTGCCTTGTTATTTACATAACACACACCATCATGATAAACACAATGGCTTTGAGGTTAGTACGCATGATTCTGAGTTGAAATGTCCGGGTTCGTGCCCTGCTGCTTTATTTGTGCGGCTCTCGAGCACACAAATGATTTACCCTTAGAATGCTTCTCTTTACATTTTACATTTACATTTTAAATTTATATAGCGCAGACTTCTATGTGGATATATTCAGTCGCGCTTAACAGTATCCTAAGGTTGAGATCGGACGTCAGCATTTTTATCAGGCGCCTCTGACAGCCGCTTCAGTCCATGTAGCGATCTCACCTTCCCACCCAACCCATCCCGGGAGGACATCCACTACACAGTAATCTCGTGCATGGGAAATTTACGTCTCCTACCTCTAATCCTGCAGGAGACGGGACCTACGGCTTTACGTCTTATCCGAGAAGACGAAGCAATGTGAGTAAAGCGTCTTGCTTAAGGACGCAACGTCATGCCCCAGCCAGGACTTGAACCCGGGCCATCAGACCCAGAGTCCAGCGCACTGATCACTTCTCTTCACCCGAGGTTACACAAAAACTAACGATAGCCAACGAGAAACACTCTAACACATCAAGACTGTAGCATGGTGATGTCGATCGTTCCTCACACAAAACTTAAGTATTCAACTGAAGGAAAACAGGAAATGTAATTATCTTAACTGTTTTTTCTTCTTCATTTGAAAAATGTTTATCCACGATGTATTGACGAACACTTAAACACAACAAAACTCCCTACCCTATCCCCCTTGACACCTTGCAACCCTGTCAGACCAGACGCTCCCCGAGGACCCTGAGGAAAAAAAGTCAAAATTTTGAAGACTAGACACCGTTGACTCATGCTCAACCAATAACCTTTGATGAAAAAGTAAATGAACACTAAAATACTATTTCCGTCTTGCTCAATGACGAAAAACCTTCGCGTGTTGGCCTTCGCGCAGCGATTTCCATTTCCACAAAATCAGATTAGTTTGGTTAGACAGACAACCCAAAAGAGGCGTTAATAAAGAAACACGGCCCTAGAACAGCAAAAAATTGGACAGGATTACTGCAGATCGCTATTGAACGAACCTTCCGTATGCACAAACTTTCTTTAAATCGTCACAGGGCTACTTTTTCTTCTCCCAGCTTTTCCAGCAGTGTAAATCCCGCAAAAAAAACAGTTCTAAACCCGGAGTAAACCCTGTGAAATCCGAGGTTCCAGCTATTGCGCTTACCTTTCCTCAATCTTGACGTCAGTGTACACCTTATTACCTGGACACCAGATATCTTGTTATGGTGCGCACTATTTAAGCCAAAGGTTACAATTTTAGTCACATGTCGCAAAGAAAAGCTCACCGGTTCGCCTTGTGGACCCCGCTCTCCAGCAGCCCCAGGGGAACCTGGATCTCCCTAAAAAACGATGATAAACTTCAATTTTAGTTATTGTTGAGGCAAAGATCATTAACAAGAGATGCACTAGTATTGGAAGAAGAGAGAAAAAAGAGAGAAAGTAATCAAAATGAATAAAGGAACGTACATCTGCTCCAAGGCGTCCCCGTTTACCAGGGGGACCCGTCAGTCCAGGTATTCCCTAGGGGTTAGAGAGACAAGGTTTCATGTCAGTTAATGATTATTAGTAAGACTAGATATGGATAAATCGACGTGGCGAACTTTGGACTCTAACTTTTCGATGCATGATGCATCCCCTAGACTACCCATTTTGTGTTTACCTGTTAATTCATATATAAATTCAATTTCCACTCCTAAACACACTGAATGAGTGAGTAAGTGAGTGAATGGCTGACCTACCGACTGACTGACTGACTGACTGACTGACTGAATAAATGCATGACTGACGGACTGACTGACTGACTGACTTACTGACTAAATAACTGACTAACTGACTGACAAACTGAATAACTGACTGACTGACTGACAAACTGATTAAATAACTGACTAACTGACTGACTGACAGACTAACTGACTGACTAAATGACTGACTAACTGACTGACTAACTAACTGACTAAATGACTGACTGACTGACTGACTGACTGACAAACTGACAAACTGAATGACTAACTCACTGACTGACTGACAAACCGACTAAATAACTGGCTGACTGACCAACTAATTGACTGACTGATTGACTAACCGACCGAATGACTGACTGACTGATAAACTGACTGACTAACTGATTGACTGACTGACTGACTGACAAACTGACTGACAAACTGACCGACACACTGACGGACTGAATGACTGACCGACCGACTGAATGACTGACTGACTGGTTTACTTAATGTTATTCAGGCGAATAACAGATGTACCTACCGGTGCGCCTGGGCTCCCATCTAAGCCCGGTGGCCCCGGTTTTCCACGTTCCCCCTGAAACAGATCCTCAGATGATAACTCTGAACAAAAAATCTAAACGACCTAGTACGACTATAAAAAATTTCTTACTCATCGTACCAGGCAGATACTAGTCTCCCTCACCAGCGTTTTTAATTTTGGCGGTTTTTCTTAAAACAACTAGACAAGGCATCAAAGTCAAATTGCGGCTACTAAGGAGACTACAACTATGTTCATATTTTGAATATACGCACAAACATGAACACAAAAATCAGATAAAGAAGTTGACAAACTTTTACTTACATCAATCCCTCTCCTTCCAGGGACACCAATTGTGCCAGTGGCACCCTAACAATTCATGAGATCAACTGATTGTTAACTGAATCAAACAAACAAATATTTAAAAAACCAAGTAGACCACGTTAAAATGTTCTTCGGTCATTTTTACAAGCATCGTCGAGTGTAGCTTCTCAATGACTTCCTGTAATTTTCCTTTATTTTGATTGGCTGCTCAGTCCTTTTATGCAATTCGGCTCCAATTACACTGAATAGCAAGAAACTAAAAATAACCGCGACTTTTTACTCGGGCTTTCCAAAGGAAAGGCCAGAGTTGAAATTTCGGCTTTTTCTTTTTTTTTTTCCGTTTAGTTGCAAATCGCAGTCAAGCCCTTTTACACGCATGCGCGACGCTGTGACTCTGAAGCATGCGCGACGTTTTGACTGATGTGCACATGGCATGGTGTGATGGCGGAAGAAGAGAAGTTTTTGTGATGCAAAATCAGCACGTTTACTGAATACAGTGGGTTCAAAACGCATACAAAATATGCACACAGCGTTTGCGTTTGCGAGTAAGCGCACATATGCGACTAGTTGTAACGCAAGACATTACCGGTTCACCAGGCTCTCCTTTCACTTCCCTATACCCTACACTGGGTCCCTTGCTGCCCTACAAAATAACAAAAAAAGACATCCCACTTAATGCTATTTAAATAAAGGATCAGATACCAGAGTCGAGCAGAATCAGTTCTTTAGCGGAATGATCTCACCCAACTGTGAAAATATATTACCAGGAATGAAATGTCCATGGACTTCTACCATTATGGCGGGCATCAAAATAATTAAAGCGTACTTGCCATCGCTTTTGAGCGAAAATTATATTGTTTTTATTATGCACAATGTGGCGTTTCACAAGAATTTTTAGCACTATAAAATAACGATAATCGTTTACGTGTCTTTGATATCACCAATCAGCTGCTGACATGTCACTCGCCTATCACGCCACTCTGTTTGGTTGATAAATGAATGGCAAAGCGTTCCCTTTTCTCAATCCAAAACCGAATTTCCTTGTCATCAAAGGCCTATGGTGTTTATATATGAAACAAAATCATACATGGTTGTGTGTGGATATGGAATTTCTCTTTTCGAGGACAAACAAAGGCCACAAAGACGGAAGTCACACAACTACAGACATGACAGAAGGCATTCAATTAGTTACTTAACTATAAATATTGGTGGTAGTTGCTCTACAGGTCCACCGTTTGTGATATTGTTAATAATTGGCCCCGGGGGGCCAGGGGGACCGGGAGGGCCTTGAGATCCAGGAGGTCCCTTGGGTCCTGGAGGTCCTGCTGTTCCCTAAAGAAATATGCACAGTCATAAATTTTAACAAGAAATTAAATTAGTTCATTTGTGGTCAGTTTTCTGTTTAACAGTTGATAATGCTAAAGTAAACCACTACGCTATCTCCTCTACGGGTGAATTAAAAACATCTCAGAGAAGAATAAATTCTCGTCGAGGGCAGAATTTTTTTCAAGCCTCTTTCCTGTAATTGCTTTTATTGTAGCTCATATGCTAGGACCATTCATTCAATCACAGTTCTCTTTTCTTAGAAAAGCATGTAATCTTGTGCCATCAAATTAGATTGGGAGACTACGCGTGTATCGTATTGTTTTCGTATCAGCGTAGGAACCAATACTAATGTAGCAGCCGCAAGACCCTGTTACAAAGTGCGGAAAAATCCTCTATCCATAAAATACAGTCAAGCCTGTATCAAGGGGTCACCCACGGGAATGGCTGGGTGACCGCTTAAAGCAGTTTGACCAATAACCACAGGTTCCACAGAATAGGGGTGATATAAAAAAACGATGAAAAACGCCATTTTATGCAGTAATTGACCACTTAATATACAAAAAATTTGCTCAAATATACCAATAACATTTATTTCGAAAGAGAAACAGATTTCATTTTGCCTGAAATATTATTCTTAGTCTTATCTTTGTGGTTCCGCTTTAAGCGATCTTTCAATACAGGTGTAGGACAATAGTGCCGCAGACGGCGGAGACGAACTCTTAATAAAACTCTTAATAAAAATTAATAAAACTCTTAATAAAAATTAATAAAACTCTTAATAAAACAGAGGTGAAAATTTCAGTAATTGTAATTAAGGTGAAATAAGTTCGGGACTCTGACAACTGACCACTTTAAACAGGGTGACCGCTTACTTAATACGATGCCGTCCTATACAGATTCAACTGCATTGTTCCTACAAATAATCCAAGCTCAGCAGTCTACAGCTCGTAATAACCAGCTTTTAGGCAAGGGCCAGTTAAATGATGATTCGAGTCGATTGTTACTCACCTGAGGACCCCGAAAGCCTTGAGGTCCGGGGGGACCGGGCGGCCCCTGATCTCCCTGGTAAAACAAATACAAAGCATTGTTTAGAACATACAGATGGGAGTTAAAAACAGACAGAAATTTCAATTGCAGGCCGAAATCAATGCAGTTTTGCATTAACTTGGGTGTTTTACGATAGCTGGTTGGACTAGGAGTATCTATCACCTTCTCGACCCCTTCGGACTGGTCGAATGTAATGAAAATTCTAAGTGATAAAAAAATGACCGCTTAATCTTAAGAAAAGAAATAAGTTACACATATTTTTCAAGGGGAAACAGTAACAGATAACAGAAGAAAACAGGTCATATAAGTTATCATAAGATTTTTAGATGACAAAGAAGCATGCCTGGTCTCCTTTCTCTCCAGGATCACCTGACGGGCCAATCTGAAAAACAAACATCATTTAAAAAGTTGATGAGAAAAGTATCAAGAAAAGTTCGAGAAAAGCAAGTTTCGATAAATTCAGGGTAAAATTATTGAAATACTGACAGAACTCCACACCCGGGAAGCTACCTACCCTACCAAGTCTACTCGAGGGAACACGTAAATTTTACTAAATTTCAAATTCCATGGACTCTTTTCGAGATTTATTGAAACCCCTGTACTGCACGTTTGTTACGGGTACTAATTTTGTATCAATTTTTCATTATTCACATTACAATTAAGACTTTTCTAGCATAGACACCAATAAAATACCACGTAAACGTGATATATTCACACGAGAAAATTGCACCGCTACTATGATTACATAATAAATCGTGCCTTTCTTGGCGAAAGTGAAATGGTTTAGTTTCACTTTGGTGTTTATATAATAATTAGAATATCACATGCCGCTTTGAGACGCGTAATTTCTCTTCTCGTGTTGAAAAATTTTTCAGTTGTTCGTTGCGAGCACATACAATTACATTTTGATGACTCCGCCTACAGCGAAATTCAAACATCACCTGAATTTCCCTGCGACTCGAGAACACTTACTCGTTGTGGCGGGAGAATCTGTTGTGGTTGAGGGTCCGGAGTCATCAGAGAAGTCTTTATCGGCAGCGGAGTCGTTAGGGGCTGAGCCGCTGAAAAGAAACTCTTTGTCGTCGAGTTGACACTTTTTGTGCGGTTAAGTATTCATGATAAAGACAAAACTCTTAAATCGATTGTGTCTGGCATAACTTGACCTGACTGGGTTTACTCGACTTATTCAATTCCTCTCCGCGAGGGATCACCTTAAAAGCCGATGTATATCACGCAAGGCCTCCCCCATAATAAGATCGTTGTGTGACATCAGCTGGATTTTAAGTCCCCAGATAAAGAAAAAATACTAAGAACGCCTATCATAGTTTTGAAGCACACTCAAAATTTTATCAAAACTTACAAGGGCAAAGAGTTTCACTGACTTCCTTCACTTTGGAATCGAGCTGAGGGAAATCGTCCACTTGAAGTACTTCTTCGGCGTCTGTGGCGTAGTTCCACGGCTCTATAACATCTACTTGGCCGATACTCAATACATTGACGTAGAAACCCCTGTCTTTTAACTCTGTTGACGCGTCAATGGGACCAGCCTCATCTGGCGAAGTTATTGCGGTTTGTTTTCCATTTGTGATGAGAAATACCACCTAAAGAAGCAAAATACACACAGTTTTATTTCCTTGTTAGGACTTTAAAAGTGAACCTAGGCCTTTCGGCCCGGAGCCCAGCGTACAAACCACTCGACCATTGCGTTCCCCACAGCTATAAAGTAAGAGACAAAAACCTACGGGTATTTTTATGTAAATATTCAACATGTTTATGATGAGGCACCCATCAGTCACATAAAAAGCTTCCAAAGCATTGAAATAACAAATACAAATACGGACGTTCTAACTTGAGGGGTTGTTTTGTGTTATTCCTTCACAGTTCCTGACCAATGTCGTGATAGGCAATCTGGTCTTAATGGAAAAGTACACAGCAACCTACCTTTTGAACATCTGGCCTCATTCCAAATTTTTCCTGAAAGACTTGTTCGTTAACTTCACGTAGTCCTCTGTTGATGTACCTAGAAGCGCCTGAGGGCGGCTTTCCGATTGATGTAATCTTTTGTAAGACGTTATCTTCTTTGAAAGTTGCCGGATCAAACTCTTCAAAATCGAGAACTTTTTCACCTTGGTCTCCAAATTTGACCAAAGCGATATGGGAGCCTTCAGGACTGACGTTGATATTCTTTGACACATTGACAACAAATTTGAGCAGAGCGTCCCAATCGTCACGAACACTTCCTGAAGCATCTACCACGAAAGCCAAGTCTATTTCACAGTTCGGGTCCTCTGTGGAGATTTGATGAAAAATAGAAGTTGATATGGTTTGCATAGCAGGTGCATTCATGTCTGCAGAGCTTTGCAAAATGCTTCGGCCGAGCAGCGAAGCCGCCGTACTAGATTGGTAAGGCCGAGGAAAGCTTGGGGCGAAGAAGTCAGTTCGGCGGGAGAATTCGCGAGAGAAGTATACCTTTTCATGCGTAAGCACTCCACGCTTTTAACGATCATAACGATCCACTGTGATGATTTCAAAACTTGAACTGAATGCTGAGCACTCACTGGCCAGAAAAAAAGCCTGCTATCTAAGCTACATATGTTATTACGTATGATGCACGATCCTCGCAGTAGATAGCGCTATTTATGCAATAGCGAAAATCAGACCTGACAAAAATCAGGCCTGTACGGGACTCGAACCACTTACCTCTGCGATACTAGTGCAGCGCTGTACCAATTGAGCTAACAAGCCAACTGGGAGCAGACCGTTAAGTTGATTCGTAATAAACCCATGAAAGTGATAAATGAGATACAATAAATATATGAAGTTCAAATATTTTGAACTGCGGTATTAGATACGTATGATGCACGATCCTCGCAGTAGATAGCGCCTGCTCCAAGTTGGCTTGTTAGCTCAATTGGTAGAGCGTTGCACTAGTATCGCAGAGGTCAGCGGTTCGAGTCCCGTACAGGCCTGATTTTTTCAGGTCCGATTTTCGCTATTGCATGAATAGCGCTATCTACTGCGAGGATCGTGCATTGTATCTCACATATGTTATTGTTAATCCTTTAGCACCGACAAGTGAAAATGTCACTCGACGGAAACTTCTCTCTTACACGTAACAGATGATTTTCCATGGCTATTGATAAGAGTGAAGTGTCCGCTGTCGTGCTACTAGACATGTCTAAGGCATTCGACAGTATCAGACATGATATTCTCCTTCAGAAGTTACAGAGTATAGGTGTTGCCTCTTCAAGCTTGGAGTGGTTTCATAATTACCTGTCTGGTCGTAGCCAGAGAGTGCGCATTGGGGATGCTATCTCAGACCCGCTCCCTCTTAAATACGGAGTTCCTCAGGGTTCTATCTTGGGACCCGTGTTATTTACCATCTATGTAAATGATCTCTTGTCCGTTCCAACTCACTGAAAGTCTGTGTGCTACGTCGATGACTATAAATTGTACCTATCCTTTCGCTCAACTGACATCGCTCGCGTATTTTGGCTATCTGAACGACTGCGGACTCGAGTGAAATCTGCCGATGGTGCTGTCAGAATTCCCTTCTAATAAACCCAGCTAAAACTACAATCTTACTAGTTGGTATTCCTCAACTACTGCGGAAATTTTCCTCCAACGTCAATTTCACTCTTGGACCTTGGAGTCTACATCGACCAGTCCTTAACATACAACGATCATATTGCTAAAACTACTTCTAACTGTATTTTCAAACTAGTACAGATCAGCAGGATCAAACACCTTTTGGACAGGAAAACTCTCTTACTTTTGATGAATGCTTTTGTTTTTAGTACAATGTATTATTGTTGAACTGTATGGGCCAACACATGTCAGAGAAATATAAAGAAGCTTCAGCTAGTGCAAAACTTCGCTGCCCGTTTTGTATTAGGTCTTAAGAAATTTGACCACATCTCCCAAGGCATACTGTTAAGGAGAGACTTTATTTCAACGATGCTGTAATGGTATTTAAATGTGTAAATAATTTAGCTCCTGAATATCTGGCTAACACGTTTGTCCCACGATCTCGTATTCACAGTAGGGTAACAAGATCATGTAATCTGCTCCACATCCCACGATGCCGCCTGTCCTCTGGGCAACGTGCATTCATGTATCGTGGATGCAAATTGTGGAATAACCTCCCAAAGGACTTAAAAGCAGCTGAGAATGTAAACGCCTTTAAGCTCTGCCTACTGAATGCGCTCCTTAGTGGAAATGTTGCGCAAAGATGAATCGTTTCTATCTTCAATTCTTGTGTAACTTTTGTATTAGTTCACTAGTGTTTTTAACGTGTATTGGCCTTTTGTATTTATATTGTATTGTATTAGCTTTAGATTTACTTATGATGATGAACTTGTAGTTTACTTGTCTTTTTCCTCCCACAATATATACTTCGCTCTACTTCTATGTATTGAGCACTGTTCTACGAAAATCAAGTCACACTAAATACATATATATATATATATATATATATATATATATATATAAATTATAAAAGAGCCTAGAGCAACAAATAAATCACAGTAATAGCTATGAAGAAACTGATTACTCTGGTCAAAGCAGAAGACCAGGGTGACATTAATATTGGCACAGTAATTCATTTTTAATTTCTTTTTTTTTTTAAATTTACTGAAAGGGGTTGACTTTATATCTTGGCCAAGAGAGTTCCAGACCTTTGGTCCTTTAAAGCGAATATGAAAAATACCATAGTTTGTGCTAGCTCGAGGCAGGTAATAAGATTGATTTGCTGCACTTCGTGTATTGTAGTTGTGGATACTAAGTACTGAATTAAAGAAGCCATCGAGATAAAAACTCCAATTTTCTTAACAATATCTCATGACTGATGGTATCAAACGCCTTACTGACANTTATTTAAAGTAAATAACTGAAGAAGGTCTCTGACCGAAACATTTTTTATTAAAATTTTTTATATTTTTAACGTCAGAAGTTGTCCATCCTCGCAATCTTTTAAACTTTCTACGTTCATGTTGGCTGTGAGGTTTGGACTGCGAATATTTATTGATCCTCCTGGCGCGGTGCACCTTTGTTGGCCTGAGAGTTCCATTAACGACTATATATATATATAATGTTACTAAATAAATGTACTATAATATTACAATAATTTAATGTAGGCTTTGTAACTGAAAAACCCAGCTTGGGAGTTGCAATAAACGTATGTATGTATGTACTTCTCGCAATATTAAAAACTCATCCAGCAAACAGATAATGAGAATACTGAAACTTAACAGGTAGAAGTTGTTGTTTTGATCTACCACCAAATTCTTCCCGGCGCTAAATCTGATTTATTATCATCAAAATCTCGAACTTGAGGAGGGCCGTTAGTATCTATCAAAAATTTCCCCCTGCATTCGATTTCCGATGATTGCAATTCACGCTTTTTGTTTGAAATTTTCTGAACTAGTATGTTATCGAATTGAATTATTTGTCTATTGCGAGCTGCGTTTGTTATGAACATAAAGCAGTAAGTTAAGTCAGGTCGCAATGCAATTCTGTGGGATGTCACGTAACGATTACGTGACGTCCTAACGAAAGTCACCGTTGTTAAAAATTGCATGACCATTTCGCAGACTTTCGTTGTCAGACTGAACAAATTTATGGTGAAGTGCTTGGTTTAAGCCGAGAACACGAACTCTGCACTAAAGCGTAAACGAACAACCGCGATACTTTCTGTGTTTTATAAAATCTCACACTTACCCTGCTTCGTTCTCAACTCTCTCCGAGTCAAGATGAAAGACGCTTTGTGAAAATAAAGCAATAGTGTTCAAGGGAAATAGCATTTAAGATTCACTAGATCGATGCAAACTGAAAGTGAAACTATGTATGCGTTTGTAAGACAAGGGAAGGGTGTATTTGAAAACTGTGAATTAAGCTGCAGGAAGCGGTCTTAGAACGAACAATTTTTCATAGTGATTTCATGACATTAAACCAAAGAAACTATTTCGTGTAATAATAGGTGTTAGATGTACTAAAACGATTTCATCGCAACGCGTTCAATAAGCCAACGGATTTTCTTCCAATAATCGCGATGAACGCATCAATTCGTTCGACGCAAAACAGGAACAACACGTTCCTAATAGTTTTATGATCACGCAACGATCACTGTACATGATAATAAACGAAATCAGGCAATGTGTTATAACCTTGATATACTTACGCGCTAGGATCGTCGTCCCTTGCAATATAAAAGAAATAACCACACTCCAAATTAAATTCGTCTGCATGGTGTTGAGTGTTTACTGCGCGTAGAAGGGAAACTATGATAAAGTCAGACCTTACAGATCACTCGAAAGGCCAGCCATTTTTCGAGGATCTGAAGCACGCACGGAGGCGTCAGATAACATCAATAGGTCTTTGTGGAAGGGACTTCATGTAACTCGAAACCGTCTGCTCACAACAGACAAATTCTTTATTCATTCATTATCAGCGCAACAGTTATTCGTAATATTTACACAGTGGATCTTTTGGCTTTTAAACTGACCTCTTCATTCTTTCTTACCAAAGACAGGTTGATAAGAAAGTGAACCTTAATTTATAGGGAATGGATCCAAGAAACGTCAAATCCTCCAAAGGTTGGTGTCAATGGCCCTCTTATGTTTGAATTTCTATAGTCACAACGAGGAGCTGACACACTACATTATGTACTTTTTAAAAACACTTTTTCTTTGATAACCCTCTGATGATTTCTCTAAATTTCAATAATTCGGCCATATGAGGTTTAAGCTCTCTTCGAATGAACTTTTCCCACCAATTTGTAAAGTGCATCACGAGCAAAGACAACATTCTGAACACCATGACGTGACCAAGATATCGGGTCACCGCTGTCCCTTTTATGACGTCATGCTGAGCAGAAGATAAATTCATTTTCTCGTTGAATTCTTTTTCATTTTTTTCTATTTGATTTGTACTTAAATATTTCTATTTCGGTTTAGTTTTTTTCTTTTTTGTGATTTAAGGGTAAATCACGAGAGAGATATATCGACAATCTTCAAGGTATCAAATCAGAAAGTATATTAATTGGTGTTCGTGGAGAAACTACGCTAAACATGATTTCATACATCGCACAACATTCTCCCTTGAAAGACAAACAACTTAAGTAAACAAGTTGAGCAAGTTCTTGAGCGCGCGAGCTGACCCTGTAAGTAAAATTCGCGGTTCAAAATTACAGAATTATCTGATATTTAGGTCTGCCGAGCAAATTTAGAAATGAAAATAAATTCGTAAGACATTAGCACGTTAAAAGATAGAAATACACGAAAACATAACTAACATACTTAAATCATAAAACTGTAATGTTTTCTGGGTATATTGGTTCATGTCTAAGAGATGCATTTTCTCCCAATTGGATAATTCAAAGATTTCTGCCGAGATAGGAAGAATATTAATTAAGAGACAAACGCAGAATATAGACCGTATTTCTGACCTAAAAGAAAACGCTACAAACATTTCGGGCTTTTTTTTATCCCTTCTTGGCTTCGATCGGCCCAGTTTGAAAACGAAGGGCGTACAACTTGTTTTCGGAGTAAATCATGTAAATTCTGAGAAAAGCTGTAAAAATTTAACCATCGCCACATTCAGCATCAATTTGGAAGATGAATAATTTATTTCACGAGGCCTGCGCGGTGATAATTTTTTTTTAAGTCTGATAATTCCACCATATTTGAGTGGAGCGATCGCATTCTTTCTGAGTTCAAGTTATATCGAAACACCGGAGAAACAAGTTCGCTGCTCGTAAGAATTTTGGTCTAACTTCATTTGTGGATTTTCTCTTGCATAAGTTAATGTTTGAAGCTCTAGTGAAGCAATATTTACCGAATGGAATCCCTTAAATCGGAGTCACGTCGTTCATTACCCACAGAAATGGACTGTAAATCATCGACCGAAGAACCAGTTTCTGACGAAGAGGTACAATTAGAACGTTTTGACTCGGTGGAAAGTTTTCGAACAAGAACATCGACAGAAAGCCGAACTGTATCGATGGTTTCTACCGAAAGCTACGAAACAGTAAGATTTTTTTTCAAATTTATATTTTGGTTTGAAATCACCTGCCAGTTTTTATACATTGAGTGTAATTAATAACTCATCATTTTTAGATTTCTGTTGTCTAAAGTGAGCTTATCGTAGATGGAACGTAAGATTATAAAATGCCGTTTTCCAGTGTGGTAGAGTTGAAGTCTAATGGCCTCGCTAAGCAAAAATGCCTTAATTGCAAAGGAATTATTACCATTCTGAGGTTTATTACAAAACTGACAAGGAAGAGTTTTTGAACAATTGTTTCACCAAACTACAAGGTTATTCAAGTCAAAATTCGACATTTGGTATTTTTTTTAGGTTAATTAACACCGTTATCTAACAGGACGGCTAAAGGCTGTTGATTAACAACAACAAAATATTGACTATGTAATGATCTATTTAGCGTACAATTTTCAACTGCCACTAAGCATACAACACTCTAAAAATAAAAAGAATTGAGAGGCTGTGATTTTTCAACAAGATGTGTTTTTGTGGTTGGAATTCTCACGAGGCTAAACGAATCGTTCCGAAATTTTATCGATCATTTGCCGGATACAATCTATTCTTCTTATAAGAATCCGAATTGTGACTCGAAGCTCATCGGGTCGGACGCAAGTTCCACGACCTTAGACTGAGTAGGCCTACACACATAGACACTCTTTTTTTCTTAAGAATGTTCAGGCTGAGATTGACCAGAGTTTACAAACATACTAAGAACATACCCAGGCTGAGAGTCAGTTAAAAACGTCTTTATTTCGCTTATTTTCTTGTGTTTCAGGAGTTTAAATACAGGACACGTCCGAATTGATTTATTGAAATACTATACCACATAACAGGCTCAAATCGTAGAAGAGAAAAAAGACCGCGGTTCAGCCTCAGCCCCAAAATTAAACTTTCCTATAAACTGAAAAAGAATGTGTTGGATACGCTTCAGATGAAACTGTCGAAGTGATTTTCTCTGCGCAACCTTCTCTTCCCTAAGGCCTTTCGCGAAAGCAACGGTAGGGTTAAAGGTGTTGCTGAAAACGTTTCGTCTTTTTTCTCCTCTTTTTACCGTTTGTCAGGCTTCCTCGTCTTTCCCAAGCTGGGACAGAAACAGCTGCCAGGGGAACAGAAGATCCTGTTTACTAGGATGGATAAATTCTTTGGAGGAAACAACAAGACGGACACTTTTCATCCATCATCTGCCAATAGAAATATGTGATCCTGTCAAAGACATTTCATTGTTTAGTTATGAAGCTGAGTTTTGTCGCATCTGTCATTGCGGCGGAGAGGATGAAGAATTAATTGCCCCATGCAGATGCTCTGGAAGCGCTAAGTTTGCACATCAAAGTTGCCTGCTGTCCTGGTTTGAACTGAAAAAGGATAAAACATGCGAGCTGTGCCTCTACGAAATTTCCGTAAAAAAGATGGGATTCAAACCAATCTTACAGGTATTGCAAATGAATAAAGGCTGATAGTTTCTAAAGAAACTGTTAGGGGCTGCGTCGGTGAGGGGTAACGAAATAATTTGGATATATCAACAAAGTTGAAATGGTAAATTGGCCATCGTAACGATTACAAAAGCTGACGTTTCGAGCGTTAGCCCTTCGTCGGAGCGAATAGAGGAATTGTGGGTTGTGCGTGTTTTTAAAGGCAGAAAATGGAGCTACGTACGTTATTGGTGGGAACATGGCAACGAGAAAATCACGAATAAATTAGTGGAATGAAAAGCGTTCGTTGATCCCTGTGGGATTTAGACTGCCNAACTGACCAAAAAATTGCCTATGTTTTTGTCGCGTTTGAATGAAATGAGCCTCCGCTCATAGGCAATTTTTTGGTCAGAAGTTCTTTTCAGACTGATGACCAACCAGGTACTTTTAAATGCACTCGTGCACGATGCAAAACGTGTCCTTTCATTCACAACACTGATATAATATCGGGACCCAAACCATCCATTAAGATCAACGTGCACCTCAACCAATGTAATCTATTGCATAACTTGCACTTGTTGCAAAAAGCCTATACATCGGCGAAACAGGCAGGAGACTAGGTGACTGATTCAGAGAACACCTTCGCGACGTGGAAAACGGAATGACAAGGACACATCGAAACCAGTCGCTGGACACTTTAATTTGCCTAACCATTCTAAGCAACATATGGCAATCTCCGGTCTTTCCTTACACTTAGGTAGCTCGGAAAGCCGTAAAACTCTTGAACAAAAGCTCATCTTTCAAACCGGCAGTCTAAATCCCACAGGGATCAATCGAAAGCTTTTCATTCCACTAATTTATTCGTGATTTTCTCGTTGTCATGTTACCACCAATAACGTAGTAGCTCCATTTTCTGCCTTCAAAAACACACACAACCCACAATTCCTCTATTCGCTCCGACGAAGGGCTAACGCTCGAAACGTCACCTTTTGTAATTGTTACGGTGGCCAATTTACCATTTCAACTTTGTTGATATATCCAAATTACAGGTATTGCATACTGTCTTCACCTCCTTTTTTTGTCGTGGCTATTAAACAATCTGTTTGTGAAAGTTTCTTTGTTGTTTTCCGCTTGTTGTTTTTTGCTTACGCTTAGAGACGTAACTATTTGTTCGTTTGTTTGTTTTTGTCTCTAGCGGAATCTTCAGTTGAAAGGATATTTTTTTATCTATTTTTATCCACTAGTGATATGAATTAGGACCGATGAAAAGGGGTGGAGTGAAACAAGTACTTTAAAGGCCTCTTTACACACTAAGACTGTCTGACTCTCTCTACAGTATTGAACAGTCTGCCTGACTGCCCGTCTGCTGTCTCTTTATCTGTGATTTTCAATTAACATTGTGTTTGTTTTTGCATCCTTAAGTGGAGACTCCCATGGCGCTCTTGCGACATCGTGGCCTACCTTTTCCTGTTCTACTGTCTGGTGCTGGTAGTCTTTATAGTCATGGTTCTATGGATCGCTTCTAAACGTTGCCTCTCTCCCATCTGCGTTGTTCTGTACTTCGCGTGCGGTCTGGCAGTGTGCTACTTCACCTACTGCTGCGGCTGCATAGAACATATTCGCTACTACTGGAAAGCATGGATCGATGTGAACCGTCAGTGGCTCATAATAACTCACAAAGACGATGTACAGGTTCACAATAATGTTATAGAAAAGAAGATCAGTAACGAATCTTGCAAAGCAAGAGAGGAATTTGTCTAGGTGTTTTGAAACTGTCAAAATGTGTTGTGTCAAAACAGTTGGCTATAGATGTACTCACATATCGAGCTTGGGCTTCCTGTGAACAACCAGCATTTCCTCACATTCCTACAAGACACCAGTGTGAGAACAAAATGCTGAAATACGGTTCAGCACCCTCAAGTATTCAACGTGGAGTTGCTATAAAACACCAGTACAAAAGCGCAAAGTTGAAGTATTCAACATAGGAGCTGCTTGTAAAGAAAAAGAGTTTGTAATAAAACTATAGTTAATCTTCGTCGTAAGCTGGGTTTACGTTGCAGGGTTTAAAATATTTAACGTACAGTTATTCATGCGATTTGCACTAAAAAAGAGCTCTCGAGACATCTGTCATTATATTCCGGTCATTTTCCAGCCGAAATTCACACAACTGATCAACGGAGACGTTGAACGAAAACATCCGTTTTAGAGAAAAGGTCTAATTGAAGGCCCCAAAATTCACCTGTGTGTGCTTTCATCTACTCTATCAAAACAACATTTTTTTCAGCGTTTCTTTTATTTCTCGTAACATCCGCCCCTTGTTTGCGAAGACGACATCGTTACTACCGTTAAAATTCAGGTTGCGAAGTAATCCATTGCCGCAAAAAAGAAAATTTGAAAAGGACCAATAAAATTTAAAAACTCAACATGGAAACGTTATGTTCACAGAACTGACAGCCAATCGGTTTTTATTGCAATGCGATTGTGTTTTGAGTAACCTTCAATGACACGCGAAAAAAAATGGCCGATCAAAATAGTCTAAGCTTTAGAACTTCGCCTTCTTTAAGTGACAAAAAGCTTTTGTCTTCAGCAGACGTCATTCGGTAATTCCTCCGCGTGATTGGTTGAAAATAAATCATTGTGTCTCAAAGGGTTTACCGTAGAAAAAGGAAACTAGATTTCCTTGAAAGTGTTTTTCTGTGAGTTTATTTTGTTGCCTCAAATAACGGTCTTTTAGGCCACAAGTGACTGTTAGCTACAAGTGATCCATAACGGAAAAAAATTACTTACAATTCTCTCTTCACATTTGAAGTCCTGTTTTTTTACCATCAAGACCGCTTTCGATTTCATTTACAAGGACAGACCATGACACAGGTACGATTTTGCCGTGTTGTCCATTCTAAATCTATTTACTGATTGAGGTAAAAAGAGATACATTATTTAAAAAATTCAGTTTTTGTAATGCTATATTATAGAAAGAGTTTGTTTTCTCTTTGTGAAACCACATGTAATCAGTATATCAGTCGTTTCGAGTGCCTCGTAAAAGGGACAAAAAAAATATTGCGCCATAATTAAAGCATGATTTTCAATAATCTGACCACTCTCTCGACGCTTCCCTTTCTCTAAAAATAAATCGTACCATAGAAACAAGTTTGCCATATCGTTCAGTCTTTAAGCCATGGTAACCGAGAAAAAAAAATGTGGGCTACTAAATTTTAGGGTGAATTTAAGGCAGCATTCGACCTGAAGGATGCTAGCTATGTAACGAAATTAATTTCGAATTAACAGTAAATTGCGGTAAATATAGCTGCTAAATGATATGAACTTTATTTATCACTGACTGAACTGATCAGGCTATTCGGGAATAACTTGATACATAAAGTGATCATAGCGAATTCCTTGATCTTGATTGGTTTATTGGTGTATGTAAAAGAAGGTAACCTGATCACTTCCAGACTTTTCGTTTGCCACTTGAGCATATCCTCTCCATTCTTCTCCCTCTTGCTCCATATTCTTTCTTCTCCATGTTTTTCTCGGTCATAATCTAACAGGTGTTTTTTCTACCCTTCCGTTACCTCAAGCGTTGTTTTGCATTTTTATCAAAAGACCCAAAACATTTCCCCACGTAGATCCTTTTTAGTTCTGTTTTCCTTAGAGCCGAAATAAACAAATCTGATTCTTTTACAAAACTCAAAGTGTTAGTTCATTTTCCTTATGGTTGTTAAATGCGTCAATTGATTTTCTTAGTTACTTTATTTAGGTTATATTATCCATGTAAGTGAACAAATTCCAACTAACTTCTAGTTTCAACACACTACTGCGAAAACTTCAAAACTAGTTTCGTCTACGACCTCGTCGGTTGATGACAAACAAAAACTAAAAATTTGAAAAATTTTTGAAAAAAACCTGCAAGTCGTGTAGTAACACACGAAAAGTAGCCGCTCAGAACCAGGTCTCTAGAACTGTCACATTGCCATAACTGCTCTAGGGACGTTGACATAATTCCACTCGCTTTTGGAATTGATTAGCTTGCCCTCTTCAACCTTATTTATCAGTACAGATTCCGTTATCTGCCTCAACATTGCATCGTCGCGAAAAACCCCCGTTACATCCATTACAAAGCCCACTTCATTTCCACCATGCCTTTCACAACAATGTCTCCACAGAACAGAGCTCTCTTCTCGCCGTTCTAAAGCATGAAAGTGTTCTTTACCACGAGTATACGCACTTCTGGACATATTTCGATTTACAAGCACGGCAAACCAACTCATATGTAATACCCGTACTTCGGCATGATCCCTTTCTGTCAGTCCGGCAGAGAAGGCAGTCAGCATTGGTGCATCGCCTCTGTTTGAAAGGGTCTGATTTTTTTAGCATGGCTTTAAGGGTTGTTCCAGATTGCTCAACAACTTTGATCTTAAACTCTGTGGCTTTGATCTCTCTCATGTACCTGTGTTTAATCTGGGAACCAGGCGTTGCTGGTACGAAAATCACTGTTTCATAACCAACTTTTCTAAACCAGTTTCTAAACCAGTTTCTAAACCTTTCCTAAACCAGTCACGTCTCTTCTTTCTCTCTCACGCCCGTTCCTACGACTTCCACTCCCTCGGCCTGTACAACGGCTTCTCACCATTCGCATCCGGTTCCACTAGTCGGTTGTAGGGAGCCAACGCTGACCGTACTACTTCTTTTCGAAACTTCTGATCGTAACCAGAATATTGAAGACTTAACATCATGTGGTTGACGTGAGCAACAACAACCCCCCAGGGTACCTCCCAGGGTACCTCCCAGGGTACCTCCCTGCTACAGTTGAGGAGAATCCTTAACACTTCCTGCGTAAGTATGGTTCTCTTGCAACTCCACGGTAAGGCCGATCTTGCATTTATCACTGATCTGGAGGCAACATCTTTGTAGTAGAACTCATGTAACACGACCTGTATATCACGGTCTTGCCCATCATCACCTACACGCCTTCTCCTCTCCATCCAGACTTTTAAATCGAGTATGGGTAGTTTTCCATCCACATGTCGTGACGGGTAGTCGACCTCTAATCTCATAGAAGGGTGCATGCTGTTTCCAATCGACTGAAACAACTCCATGCATCGATTATCTGGCTTGAGGTTTTGCTCTATTTGTGCAAAGTTCTCATCTTGGGTAAAACTTCCCTCCTCAAATCTGATACCAGCCGCGGAAGCGTTCATAACCACATTTATGTCATCCACGTATTTCTTGTACACCCGTAACCCCACCCAACTTTCTTCCAGCTTCTTTACCATTTGTCTGTCCCACCAGACCATAATCAACTGGGCCAAGACCCCAGTAAGCTCAAGCCCTATCGGACCTCCCTCTGTCTGCGGCTTGATCTGATTGTCGAATGTGTAGAGGTGGTTCTTCATGATAAATAATAGGACAACCTTCATCGCCTTCGTGAACATATTTCTGGTAGTAACCTTGTCCGGCTGCTCAACCGGTGGTAGCCAAGGTTGAAATCTCTTAGTTCTGTTCTCATCTACAGCGCAACCTGTGATGGTGGGAGGTCGGCCTCTGTTAGTCTTGCGTCGTGGGCAAAACCTCACTAAACCCAGATTTCTCAACTACTCCTCCCATCTGTTCCACGAAAGATATAATCCCAATTCCTCAACATTTAACCCGACCACTTCCACACCACTTGCGTGGAAGACTTCACAAACTTTCTCTACTGTAAAGCTAATGTCCAAACTTGGGTACAGCGCCTTCACATCAGCTGAGCCAACAACAATATCTTCCGTGACCTGGCTGTCATTTAACTCCTTGAAGTTAGCCAAAATCTCCTCAGTTCTCAGACAAACACTCTTCTCTTCCCTCCACACCTCCGCCAAAATAAAACTCATCAAATGCGACAATTTCCTGTTGTAGGCTGATACTGCCCCACATACCGGTCGAACCGGTGGGCCAATAGAGGGGTCATCTGCGTTCTTGTGATCTTTCCTAAGAGCATACAAAGGGGGGAAGGTGCAGTCATTTACTAGCATGTTACTCTTAATTCTTACTTTCCCACCAACACCTTCCCCAGTATTGAGGATTCTCACCCACATAACCGAATGCGCATTCGCCTCCGTCTGTGCTCTCTCATGCAACTCATCCGTGGCAGTTAGATCATTCTCCACATGCGGCCTACATGCAGCACGATAGTTATTCAAGGTGTCAACAGCAAATCTCCCAGACTTGTCCGTCTGATAGACAACAATGTCCTTATTGGCTCGTAAAGACCTCAACCCTCGCTGCTCTTCTGCTGTCAAGTTATTCCCAGTAGAACCCACTCTCTGATCAGCGATGTACTCTTTAGTTGTTCTCAACAATCGCCCTTTGAGATGCTGCATTTCAATCTCCTTCTCGTTTTTCAAGGCATCTGGTAAGCAAACTCGTCTATTAAACGGTAGGTCCGTTGGGCGTAAGTATTGCAAATTTATGACCTTAGTCTCCAACTCACCCGGCCAAACCTTTTCTCTCTCTCGTTCCCCACCCTCTTCCTCCTCTCCATCTTGTTCGGACGTTTTAGTTTTTGTTTGTCATCAACTGACGGGGTCGTAGACGAAACTAGTTTTGAAGTTTTCGCAGTAGTGTGTTGAAAGTAGAAGTTACTTGGAGTTTGTTCACTTACATGGTTAATATGGCGTTAAGTGATACTTTCTTGGCTTCGATAAGTATAATTTCACAACGATTTATCTAGGTTACATCTTTTCTTTTTATCTAAACAGATTTATCCGTTTCCTGAAATTGACCCACACCACCAACAAGATTCCATAAGCGGTCAAAGAGTTGTGAACGCAGTCGGATCTGTAATAAATTGTCATGGAAACCCAGCCTTTGTTGTGGAGCTATTTTCGAGACAAAACTCAGAAGTATGGACTATGCAGCCCGAGCAGGAACTCGAGAATTTGGTTTGGTTTTTTGTTGTTGTTGTTGTTTTCCTGACATTACAAGGAAGCATTCACGAGTTTATTCACCTATTGATTTTTTCCTTCATCGGCACATTCACTCACTCACTCACTCACTCACTCACTCACTCACTCATTCCCTCACTCACTCACTTGCTCGCTCACTCACTCACTCACCCACTCACTCGCTCGCTCGCGCGCTCGCTCACTCGCTTCTTCATTCATTCATTTACACAGACCGACACTCATTCACTCACCTCATTCATTCACTCATTCCGGTACCCTAATCTTTCATTCATTCTCTCACCAGCCTGCTTGCAGGCTATAGCTGGTATGCGCGAGTATTTAGCACGGCGAATATATTCAGTCGCCATATTGGACGGGCGGAAGATCTGGGACTAGTGACAAAGCGAGGGGGGGAAGAAGGGAGAGATAAACCTTTATTCTCTCATCTATTCATTTATGCATTCAAAAAATCACTCACCCAGCCCCATATCCGTTCACTCATTCATCATTCATTAATTTATTCGTCTATTAAGAAACATCCCGTTGCTTACATAGATTAATATAATTCTCAGTGGTGGAAAGTGCCGTCTAGTATTTGCCTAATGATTCAAATGTTGAAATAACTAAGTTAGTTGTTCACCTTTTTAACTTAGGCACCTTTTTAACTTATGTACTTATGAAGGATGAAGATATCTGCCGAATTTGTCGCGATACCAAAGAAAAAGAAGAACTTGTGCGAGTTTGCCGATGTGATGGTTCTGTGCGATTCGCCCATAGGAGCTGTGTTCTACGCTGGTTTCAATTTTCCTTTCGCTATGAATGTGAACTGTGTCATTACAAAATGAAAATCAAGAAAAATGGCTTTAAACCTGTAAAGGAGGTGGGAAATTAATCTTTTCGGTCAATCAATTCAGATATGAACGATCAAGCCTGAGAAATAAGTAAGCCTCTCTGAAGGTTTGTCAAAGCGTTCTTGTTAAAAGAAAAAAGACTTAGAAGTTCATAAATACCAAAAAGACGCTGCTGAAAAACCTGCACCCCTCCCATCCTTTTTAATGGGAAAAATGGGAAAAATAATGGCAAATTTGGAAATGGATATTCCAGTGGGTGGCTCTTCTTGTCCACTGTTTCTAGGTCGAATTGGAATTTGGAATGTTGTTTTTTGCGGGGGGAGGAAAACCAGAGGACTGGGAGAAAAACCCTCGGAACAAGGACAAGAACCAACAACAATCTCAACCCACATGTGATGCCAGGTCTGGGTCACAGCGGTAGGAGGCAAGCGATCTCGCCACTGCGCCATCCTTAGTGGAAAATTTAACTACATGTCCCCTCGTCGAGCAACGTGTTCCGATTACAATACTTTCTATCAGCTATCCTAGCCGGGACCTTTCACGTTTCAATTTTTTTCTGTTTGGCTTGTCTAAGAAATACAGTGACCGAGTGGCCCGGGATCGAGACCCGGTTGGGTAGATGTGAAGTGTTCTTGGGCAAAACACTTAACTCTCGCAGTGCCTCTCTACATCCAGGGGGATAAATTGGTACCGGCGAGTTGTCAGGGAAATCTCAAGATGTGCTGGATGAGATTTGAGGCCGGGGGGGAAGGGGTAGGGGGTAACTGCGTCGAAATGGCGTCCCATCCAATACAGAATTACAGAAACTGGGATAAGCTCAAGATCTCAGCCACTAAGCTCGAGAACAGAATCTACGTACCTTAAACCTTTCTTTGGTTGTCTCTTTGCAGTGGTCCAATCCATGCCAGTTCATGTCATCAGTGGATTTCGTTATTATGCTGATTGTCAACATTTTTCATGGAGCCATGTTCGCTGTGATTGTGATGGTGGCGGTAACGAACAACTGCTTCAGTTTGACCTGTATCTCTCTCCTCTTGTTTTGCTTTGCAAGTATGAAAGAACTATCTTAACTATTTGACCCCTAAGAGTGACTGGCATGTATGTTTTCCTTACAAAATCACCCCTGAATCAACAAATTCTCCTTGTCATTACCTTAGCAAATATATAGACAACAGTATGGAGAATATGCACACTGATGGTAGGGTGTTAAGGGGAACGTTATCTATGCGTCTTTCCTGCAATAGGTCATAAGTAACAACCAATGAAAATGCATGTATCATTCAGCTGGTCCTACAAAACAATATTGAGTCCGCCTACGATGCAAGATCATTATATATACACGATCGACTGTCTGCTCTTCTTGTTGATCTCCACTCATTTTCTACATTTTTTACCTTGACTCATTTCTAGTCGCACTTGTGATGTTCTACTGCTGCGATGGATGCAAATACTTGAAATCCTGCAGAGTACGGTGGGTAGTAAACAACAGCAGATGGAGCATCTCTAGTTATGACGAGGAGTCATCCCACCAATGACAGAACCCGCACTCCATCACGAGATCATTGATAAAGCGGGGCGCGAAGAGGTTGGATATGAAAACTAGGATTGCTAATTTTCCTATTGGAAGTGAAATCTGGGCTGAAAAATGTAATTTATTCCTTAATAGAGACATGCAGCCATGTTGACAGGAGAGCCTTCAAGTAACCCCATGGGCTACAACTAGTTTACTGGCAGATTTAAGGAGACTGAACTTAGGCTGGGACGGAAATTCTCTCAGAAAATATGCTCGAATTTTTTATAAACCGATTGAACTTTCAGTTTGACGACGCCATCCTTTGGAGATCCCAGCAACATCCCGGAGGGATTCGACAAAATCCCAGCAGGTTACTAGCAAATCCCCACCAAGATCTCGGAAAGACCCAGTGAGATTCCACCAAGATCACAACACGTCCCCAGGAAGAATACAAGATCCCAAAGGTTCCCTAGCGGGATCCCGGCGAGAACAAGGGTTGGTTAGCTGAAATTTGAAACGGGCGCTTGGTTTCAAATCGCAAAAGCCCCACTGAAAGAATATTTTATATCTTTGAAAGGGAGAAAAAGGATAAAATTTGTCTCCTAAAATTAATCATTAAGCTTACTGGAATTATTATGAACAATGGTAGAATCCTTATACAAAGTGTAAACGTTGTATATAATATATCAAGGTTTACCACTCTTACCCCTCTCTTTAGATATACAGAGCTGTAAAAAAATCAACTGTTTTTTATTTCAAACGAAAACAGCAGGCCTTTACATGGATGGCCATGCATTGTAAAGTTAGATGAGCCTACAAATAACTAGACTTTATTACATATTTTTTCTCTTTTCTGATGTAAATTCTAGTTATATTACACGAAACAAACCTTTTCAACAGGATTCACAAGCAGTAAACCAACGCATTTATTTCATAAAAACGTTGTACAGCACAACACAATGTTAAGACATCGCTACAGGTAGTCAGCCGCGTTTTCAATCACAACGTTAAGTCCACTAAACTGGGCATGGTTTTTATTTCAACGTGCTGTTAACATGACAACTATTACCCTAAAAGCCACTCGCAAAGGAAACAATCCTCCTTGCTACAAAAATCCCAAAGTTAGCCAGCCATTATTGAAGTTATATACAGTATTTACAAGTCGATTTTCGACTTTTGTTTTATGACCATATTCGCACAGTTCCGTCTGAACCACCGCTGACCAAAAACTCCCCGATAAGGTCGAACAATACACTCTGTACTGCATCTTCATGCGCAGTGAGCTCAGTAGCCTGGCCTGTTGCCACCTCAATCATCTTGACCGTCCCATCATTACTTGCGACTCCAAGGACCGTGCCACTTGGGTCAAAGTCCAGGCGGTTGGCCGGGTGAGGCCCGAGATCTACAGTTGTCATGCAAGCTACAGTTCGCACGTCCCACATTTTGACAACACCATATGCATCACACGAGGCAACAGTATCACCCTGAGAAGCGTGCAAAAATGGTATTTAACTATTATACGACCTCATTCTGGAAGAGTTTTTTTTATCTATCTGTTTGCTTCTTTGTTTTGTGTGTGTGTGCTTTTTCAGTTTTTTTTTTCTCTCCTCCCACGGGAAGAATCCATCAATAACCCCATCGGGAAACTAGCAAAAGAAAATAAAGATCTATTATTCACGATTTGTACCCTAATGCTACCAGATCTTACCCATTCCTGTTACGCAGTAGCGCGAAAAAAAATTTAAATCTTTGACACTACAAGGTGTGGTATGAAGATTTTGCGGGTATAAGTTTGTTGCAGACTGTATTCAATCCACGGGGGCAAGTTTTCGCAGAAAAAAAGATGTCCCGCAAAATGAAACACGGCAAAAATATGCTTATCTCAACAACCTGATACAATAATTGATGCAAGTAGGTTAGGGGGTTGGGGGAGGCCTGTTTTTGATATTCTTGTAGTGTCCTCTGGGCAAAAGCACTCTAGGATTGATAGAGTTCATTAAAATGTGTCTAAAAACCAGAGTGTTTTGTAATTCAAATACAGCCACTAGCCTACAGCAGTCGTACAAGTTTTCATTTCTAAGACTGCAAACAATATCCTTTCGCTTACCTTTAGATTAAATACCACGTGATTGCAGGAATGCATGTGTCCATAGAACGTCTGAGCGCAGAGTCCCTGAAGAAAGCAAACCACGTCATGAATTTTCCGTGACAATTTTAAAGTGCGAGTGTAACTTCTACTGAAATATTAATGTGAAGGGATAAATGAAGTACATTACGGCCTGCAAGAACATAACTAACCAGTTTGATCCTCTTGTCCGTAAAAGGAACTGGTCAGCTAAGAAAACTGACAAAAATTGTTTGGGCATATTGCTTAGTTCTTCGAGTAAGAACACAAAAATTTCACTCTTCTACGTGGACTTGTCGGGAGACGCAGGAGAGTTTTGCAAGCCAAAGGTCGTAAACGATGGTGCAAATTTTCGCCCATGATTAAGCTCTCGTACGAGCTGGAACACGAGTATATCGCAGGCTTCTGGCGAAATACGAGAGAGTAGATCTGGCACGCTTTGCCCGCCTGCAGCAGGCCTACTACGGGTCTGCCTCGAGAAAGGAGCGTCCACTATGACGGACGACATTGTTCTCATAGACTTTCATTTCTCGTGCCAGACAGACCTCCCACGAGTTACGCGAGAAGCCCGCAAGATACTTGCGAGGCAGAGCCCGCGCGCCTGCCACGAAAATAAATTCGCTCGCATGTATCCCTGGACTTTGCTGCTTCAATACCATTTTCCCGCCATCACACACAAATTCTGACCTGTAAAACAGGCCTGTTTGCTCCGTTATCAATGCATGCTACCTTTTACTAAAAACAAATCCAAATAAACATTTCTCCTTACCGTTCTCGCGTCCCATAGAGACAGCGTCTTGTCAGCAGAACAGGTCAACAACGTGTTAGAATATGGAAGGAACACTATGCTGTTTACAGAGTCAGCATGACCGCGCAGGGTGTGTCGGCAGCGCTCACTATGAGAGGAAAATAAAACTTGAATTTGTATCCAGATAATTTATCTGACTCATCATCAGTTTAAAGCACTCGATTTCATATCGTTCTTAAGTGATACCTTACATGTGTAAGCAGAATATTTTAAGCTATATCTCGAGCTCCCTTTGCAAAGTTTGCGCAAGGTTCTTGCAATCAGCAAAATCGAGAGTTCTTCCTCGAACGAAACTTTAGTCTCCCAGGTAGCTATTAGTATTGCATGGTCTTGCCGTACAATGCATCTCTCGAAAGCTTAAAACTGTGAGATAATTACTTTTTTGTAGGGGAACTCAGAGGAATGAGAGATGAGAGATTACCTGTTGACATCCCAGACTTTAGAAGTGTTGTCCATGGAACATGAGGCCAAGAAATCACCACACGAGTGCCAGGAACAACCCCATACCGCGTGGGTGTGGTCAGTAAAGGTCAGCACACATTCCGCTTTGGAAAAATCCCAGATCTTAACTGTCCCATCACCGGACGAAGTGGCCAGACGAGCACCCCTGCAAAGAAATCACGATTAATGAAGAGGTAACAGGTCACCCAGCCAGCAACGCATGCGCAGTGTAGATGCATTTTGGTGAGCGAGAGCTAAAAAGTTCCTTCGCTTCATGTAGGACTGCTGTCTTCTTACTAAAATTATCTGCCAGCTTTTACCTCCATACTTTACCTAATTGTTCTTTTCTCAGTAGCGGATATAGGGGAGGGGCCCAGGGACCCCTCCCATCATTTTGGGTAAAAGAAAAACGCAGAAGGAAGAAAAGCCGTCAGGAGTAAACACACAAAAAACCGCCCCCCCCCCCCTCTTAGCTAAAGGTCTGGATCCGCCACTGTTTCTCACAGTTCTTAAAGCTTCTCCTCCGTAAGTCACTCCACTTATAACTTCCCCTTCCTTACACTTAACAAGGTGAAGAGAATTCAAGATTTCTGTGCTTCAAATTAGAGGCACGTTTAGCACTTCGCATTTTCTACATTGCCTGTCAAAATGATAAGATCATTGCTTTCTTCATCTAGCCTCTACATTTTCCATTTATTTGAAAAAACCGCAAAATTCTAACTTAAAATAAACGTACAACATAAAAAATTAAAAAAAAAAAAAAAACACAAAGAAACAGACAAAAAAAATAAATGGTTTCGTCATACCCAGGGTGAAAGTCACAGTTGGAAAGCCAATCCTTGTGACCTTCGCCAGTCATAATGATGTCCCCACTGAAATCAAAATTCACAATCAAATGATTCAGAAATGAACAATACTTCAAATTGCGATTGACATTCAAGTAGAGAAATGATCCTCGCAAGTGAGCTGCAGTTCATTGAATTGCACAAACAAAGCCTGCAGAAACTTAGGCTTCGACAGGATTTTGAACCCGTTCCGCCCAGATGCTAGTTGGACGCTATTACCAATTGAACTACAAAGCCACATGTTCCCAAGAACGAATATGATCTCCCTCAACGGAACGAACGACCCTTTAAAGAACTTAAAAATAGTCTGTTGAAGGCACTGAACGAAGGTTGGACGTGCGTTGATTTTCTTCGACAATGCGTTGGCAAAGCATTTGAGTATTTTGTGTGTGTGTGTGCGTGTGTGTGTGTGTGTGTGTGTGTGTGTGTGTGTGTACGTGTATCGACACTATATTTGAGAAGTACACCCCTGTACTACTCGCATAATTTTCTTTTCAACAAAAGCGAAATAAGAAACTTCATAAGTCGACGACGCCATATCGTGGCTCACCTTGGCACAGCCCACATCTTCCAGCTCCAATCATCACTTACTGTGGCTAATACTTGTTTTCTAGGATGCAGAGCTAATCTGTGGATGAACCAAGAGATGCATCAAATGGAAGAATAAAATATAACGATAATCATTCCAATACTTAACAAAAGCAACGAGATCTAGGGTGCTTTTCGATCGACGACCTTGATAAACAAAAACCTAACTAATTAGAACGTCCTTCCACTATAAAACATTGGCGGGATAGGCGCACGAGAGGCTCGCTTGGCAGAAGATGACCCCTTTCGTCGCGGTAGTGCTAGTCTCCCGCAACCCTGCAACCGCGCATGAAAAGAAGGGTCGCAGGGTTGCAGAAGAAAAAAGATATATAAGAGACGACTTAGGACGAGTCAAGTTTTGCACCTGATTGGCTAAGAAGGTGGCGTCAGCTTCTTACAGACCAATCATAGATAAATTAAAACAAAACCAATTTCACCCCAAATGACTTTAGACACTGGATTGTACATGACTGTTCTATAAATGTTCTTACCCGCTGACTGGTAAGTTATGAGCAGCGAAGGTGTGTGTCAATCTGAAGCCTCCTGAGCGGGTCAAGTGAGCGGACGGGCCCCTGTGGTGTGCTAGCTGAGGATTGACTCGACTGTCAGCAGGGAATTCTGAATCCTGAAGTCAAATAAAAATTATCTTCTAGTGTCATGTTCGCAACACTTCCTGTTCGCGTCACCTTGGACAACTATACATGTGTATGCCCTTTTTTAAATTGCGATCTTACGATGCACAATGAATTTATGCCTTACTCATAAATGCGAAATCGAAGCGACTCAAAAGACAAACTTCTCGAAAACTCACGAACTTTAAGAGTCACGAAGTATACGCGCCTCAAAATAGCGAAATTACTGTGTCAGCAAAATTTTACGTACATGTAACTAGGTAACACGTTGAAGAGATTTGCAAGAAAGTCTCTTCAGCTATAGGCGCGCTAAAACGTGTAAGGCCCTTTATATCCAAAGAAACTGCAATTCAAACTTATAACGCTTTGATTATGCCTCATTTTGATTACTGCAGCCCCGTCTGGGACTGTTTAAGTGGCGATTTAAGCGATAAGCTCCAAAAATTACAGAATCGAGAAGCCAGAATTATTACTAAATTACCCTTTGATACGAGCTTAAACCACCTTTTCTCCACCCTCGATTGGGAGAGGCTATCTCTTCGACGAGAGAAACAAAAAGCCCTAATGATGTATAAAATTATGAACAACCTTGCTCCCGAATATCTACAAAGTCTTTTCTCTCAGCGTCACTCTGTGTTCGACATAAGAAACTCTGAGGGAAGGCTGGCCTTGTCCAAACCAAACACCAATTATTGGAAACGAAGCTTCTCTTACAGCGGGGCCATATTATGGAATAAATTGCCCAAAAACTTAAAAAATGCTTCATCCATTAACCATTTTCGGCGAAATGTTAACGTAGTCGATATATAGGATTCCCACACGGCAATCATGTAAAGCAGTTAATTAATCTTAGTTTTTATTATGTAACTGATGATTTTCCGTGTTTAA